TATAAATGGGTAAAGAGAGCTCTAAAGAAATATCCCAGGGCTGAGGGGAAAGGCCCAAGGCTGGGATTCAGACTTCATCAGAGAAGGGGAAATTGCAGATACTGAAGCTCACTGGGTCGTGTTGTCCTGGGCCAGAACTGGTCCATAGTTGATGGGCAAGCAGGAAACTCTCATCTGGGGTACAAGCAGGTTAAGGCTGGTGGGCAAAGAACCATGGCCAGGACTGGCAGGCAGGAAATCCTGCAGCCACCAGGGTGCAGATGGGCTTAAAGCTGGAATGTCAACCACCATGGGACCTGTGAAAATCACTGAGAATCTGCGGTGGGGGAACTGCTCAGACTTGATGGGAAGACGTCAATGGGGATACTGCTACAATTTGATGAGGGTGAGTGCCACGGGATGTCCCCCACACTCTGCTGGCAACCATACAATCAGAGCAAGAAACCAACAGAAGCACAACTAAGCGAGGAAGAAAAGCCCCTTTTACCTATAGGTTTTCCTCTGGCGCCCTCTACTGGCTAGGCTTAACATCATGCTGGCTGCAAAGGAGAAATTTTTACAGGGTCCAGCTCAGTTATACAGGGCAGGCAATGAAGTGTAGATTTGGAGCTGAGAGGGAATAAATTGATAACTGGTACAGCTGATGTCTGACATTCAATCAATAAGCCATGCAAAGAAGAAAAAAATATCCAAATGAGGAGAAAAAATCAATAGAAATAGACTTTTAAATTGCACAGGTGATAGAATCAGTAGACAAAGACAAAACAGTTATTATATCAGCTATTATACACCCTACATTCAAGAAGGTAGAGGAAAGACTGATCATGTTTAATAGAGATAAGAAAAATATTACTAAAAAGATCCAAACTGAGCTTCTAGAGATGAAAAATACAATGCTTGAGGAGGGAAAAATACACTGGATGGGATTAATCCAAGATTAGGCACTGCATAAGAAAAGATGAATACATTTGAAGACATAGCATTTAAAAATATTCAAAATTAAATGAGGGAAAAAAAGACTCAAAAGAAAAGAACAAAGCATTATCTGCCTGCTTTTCCTATTTCTCTAGCACAGGGATAGGCAACCTTTTACTTAAAGGGACAGATATTAGATGTTTTAGGCTTGTGGCAATATGGTTTCTGTTGCAACTTCTCAACTCTGCCTATTCAACTCTCCTCGAAAGCAACCACAGATAATATGTAAGCAAATGGGCACATCTGTCTTCTAATAAAACTTTATTTACAAAAATAGGAGGCCAATTCATGGTCTGTCATTTACTGAACCCTCTGCTAGAGCATCGTGCTAGAGGGCCCTGAATGCACATCCAGCACCCCAAAACCCAGCGGGCTGCCAGGGCCTGTTAGATGAGAGCTTACCCCAGGCCTCAGCCCTGTCCCCTTCTTCGTCTCTCTAGCTGGCATTGTCAGACCAGATCCAGGCATAGCTAGCAGATAAGTGAATCGATTTAGCCCTTGCGGTGTGCCAAAAAATAGTTCCCCAGAAGATATCCGCAGCCTAATCCCTGGAACCTCTGACTGTTACTTTATAGGGAAAAAGGAACTTTGCAGATGTGAGGAAGGATCTTGCGTTGGGGGATTATCCTGGATTATTTAGTAGGCTCCAAATACAATCACAGGTGTCCTCATAAGAGGCAGAGAGAGGTTTGACCCACAGGCGCAGCCAATATGAAGACGGACCCTTGACGACCAGCAGCTGGACGAGGAGAGGAACGCACTCTCCCTTAGCGTGGCCCTGACAACTCCTGCGCACCTGCCCAGTGATACTGATTTGGGACTTCCGGTCTCTAGAACTAGGAGAAAAAAAAAAAAATGTATGTTGCTTTAAGCCATGCATTTTGTGCTAATGTGTTGCAGTAGCCCCAGGAAACGAATACAACCGTCTAGTAATTATCTTCAATAATTATCTGTGATCGTCAATAAAATCAAATGATCTGCCCCCAACCCAGGTTCAGAGCTGGGTTAAAGGAGGCTTTCTGGACCGCCTGCCTTACCCAAAGCAGGCTCCAAGGGAACAGAGGGCAGCCCAGCAGAGGAAGTGGATGGGGCATTCTTGGGAGTCAGGAAATCGGGGTTCATGTCCCCTTCTGCCTTCCTCACTGAGTGATCCCAGGCCTTTGGCTTCCTTATTTGTGCAATGGGGGGTAGAAGAGGAGATTTCCCTCCTGCTGCAAATGCCATTAAGCTTAAAGGGGCCGGGCGCAGTGGCTCCTGCCTGTAGTCCCAGACCCTCAGGAACCTGAGGCGGGAGGATTGCTTCAGGCCAGGAGTTCAAGACCAGCCTGGGCAACATAGTGAGGCCCCCATCTTTACAAAAAATAAAAAGCCGAAAGGGAATGCCGATGAGAATATTCAGCACAAACATGTTCTATTATGTTCAGGGCTGGGGGCAGCCTCACAGTAGCACTCAGATTCTATCCCAGGCAGCCCCCCTGCTCCTCCAAGTTTTTGAAATAACAATAATGATCGTAGGAACGGCTAACCCCTACTGCATGCCTACTACATGCCAGGTACTGTGCCAAGCATTTTTCTTGTGTCCTTCTCCAAAGACACTGTGGAAATAGGATAGTGGAGTTTGTGCTATGGAACTAGCAAGACCTGAGCTGGAGTCTCAGATCTGCCACAATTAGCTGTGTGACCTTGGGCAAGTGACTCAACCTCTCTGAGCATCACTATCCTCACCTACAAAATGCTGCTGCTCTTACCTATTTTCCTGAGATGTTACGAGGGTCAGCTTCACCTTGAGCAAAATGCCTGGCATGGTACTCTTGTTATCACCACAACGAGTGGAGGATTCGTGGTGAACACACAGGTTCACAAAGGGGGTGTGCTGTTGCCTCGGTTGGAAAACATCTAAGTGCCACCTGCATCCATGCAAACGGCAATGCTACCACTCCCAGTCCACCCCGCGGCTGTGGAACTACAGAATATTTCTTCTATGACAGCACCTAGACTCACACATACATGGTAATTTTCATGCTGAGAGCTGAGTGACTAATTTTCCCACCTAAAATGTATTCTTCCTTCTTTTGTTATTACAGGCTGGAGAAAAGACATAATAAAAACCCTCTGAGTCTGGCAAAGGAAACAACATGAAATGTGATTTAAAATGGGAAGTAATCATTGTGTCTACGATTCTAAAAAAAAATAAATAAATCAAGGAGCAGCTTTTAGAGGCAGTCTTAAGTCATGCTTCATGCTGGCGGATACAAGTTAGAAAGAGGGGGCTACATCTGACAATTCATTGTTTTTGCACCCTACAATGCTACGCTGCCTGCACTGTCCTCCTTAAAAGCCCCACCAGCCCCCTGACCCACTGGCCACTGGTGACCTCAATATTCCCTTCTCACTCCATCATGCCACCCAGTCCTGTGGACTGCGTGCCTCTCACAGCTGTGGGACATTCGCGTTGGCCACATCGCTCCAGGTGAGCTCAGCCCCTCTCTCTGGGCAGTTGCACGGCATGGTCATTAGCCTGGCCGCCTCCAGGATGACCTGGAACCCACCAAGCCAGCCGCCAAGGGATCTTTCTGACTGTAACAATGAAAAGACAGTAATGGTGACTGCGGTTACGTACTCAGAACCCACTGGGTATCTGCTGTGTTACTCAGATTTTTTCATTTAATTGCCAAAAGCCTACAAGGTAGCTTCTATTGGTCCCACTTTACTGATGAGGCAACTTGCCTAAGGTTGGTCCATGTCACTGAGCTGGTAAACAGTGAAGCAGGTTTGAACCCAAGACTGTGGGACTCCTAAGGTTGTGTTCTGAGTTTTTCAAACTATGCCCTGAGGATGTCACCATATAGGATATTAATAAGTTTTCTTTTTCTTTTTTTTTTAAAGACAGGGTCTTGTTCTGTCACCCAGGCTGGAGGGCAGTGGCACAATCATAGCTCACTGTAGCCTCGAACTCCTGGGCTCAAAGGATCCTCCCATCTCAACCTTCCAAAGTGCTGAGATTACAGGCATGAGCCACTGTGCCTGGCCAAACAATAAGTTTTCTTTTAAACAACAACAACAAAGTGTGTGGTGAGGGTGTTAGATGAAAAGATCTGTGGTTAAATAAGTTTGGGACTTGCTCTCTGTACTGCCCCCTCTTGGACAATTCCTGGCATATTAGTATATTAAAGGCTTTCATGTGTCCTGCAATTAAAAAACAAAAACAAAACACTTTAACCCAGAGTTTTCCAAAGGCATTTGCTGTGGAACCCCTTAGCACTGAGCATGCACCATTCTGAGGGAGGACCAGTGTTCCTCGGCACACAGTCTGGGAAGCACTGGCCTTCTGGCTCAAGTTGCAGGTCCTTACCCTGAGCTGGCCCTGCCTGCCTCTCTGGTTTCACCTTCTCTTGTGCCCTAGGTCAATCTTCTGCTCCAGCCACACCTCGCTGCTCACATTTCCTTAAGCGTGAAAGGGTGTCCATGCCTCCGAGCCGCCGATTGCTTTGCCTGGAATGCCGTTTCCCTCCTTCCCTCCTCTAGGTGCCTCCAGGACTAGCTGGAGTGTCTCCTGCTGGGAAGTATTTTTCCAAGCCTCCTAAGCACAGATTACTCCCTGGATTGCACCAATCCCTGCACCAACAGTTAATCCTGATGCAACATGTCTCTCTGCGTATGTTAAAGAATATTTGTTTTCACGTGGCTGTCTCTTGTTGTAGACTGTGAACTTTTTTTTATTCTTAATAAATTTTATTTAGATAATTGTAAAAAGAAAAATCAGGACCAAAACTAAAGGCAACTTAAAAAGTTCAAATATATACTCCTTATATAATAGAGACTTATAATTTCCAGGCCCTCTCTGGGGAAGGGAGGCCCAAAGGGCAAAGTGACAATGCCATCACACAATTCAGTCACTCGATGAGAAGAGAAGCTGGATAGGAGCTCATTGGGCTGTGAAGAAAGGGGAGAAGAGCAATAGTTCTGCCATCCAGAACTCGGTCCATTTGAGGTTAACATAGATATAACGGATGAACTTTAGGGAAAAAAAGAGATAGTGCCCAGCATGAGGAAAAAGATGTAACCAGTGAGTAAGGAGTAGCCAAAGAACTCTACAGTCTGTACTGCCCCTGACATACTGGAGCGCCGGGCATAGTAGAAAACTGAGTAGAGGAAGATGAAGAGGCCAGTGGAGCCAACACTCAGCACAGATCCCACCACCAGCGGTGATCCTGTCCAGACAACTGGAAGTAGGTGAGTGCAATGGAGATGGAAGCTCCCACACTCAGCAGGATGGCGAAGACAAAGAAGAGGATGCCATACAAAGTGTACTGCTCCCGACCCCACACTGTGGCAAAGATGTAGTACAGCTCCACGGAGATGGCACTGAAAGGCAGGAAGCCTCCAACAGTCATATGGATGAAAGTAGACTTGTACCAGGGCTGGGATGAGATCTCCCGGGCGATGTTCTTGGTGCGACAAGGTGCATCAAAGGAGCTAGCGTTGTTCTTCCCGAAGATGCCTCCGATGACAGTGAGGGGAAAGCCCACCAGCAGCCAAACCGTCAGAAGCAGCAGGATAGTGGTGGCTGGCAGAGCCTGTGTCGAACCATTGGCCCAATGCACCGAGTTCACCACACTCCACGTCAGGAAGAAAGGCACAGAGAAGAGACTGGTGGTGAGAATGATGTTCCACACTCAACATTTGCCTCCAATCTGTCGGTAGAAGTGGCTGGACACGTAGCCAGAGATGCAGCAGGTCAGGGCATACAACAAGATGGCTGCCGAGTTAATGGACCCATGACGATGCACATTGAACATGCCCAGCAGTGCCATGACAAATAATGCCAGTGCCAAGGGCCCAGGAACTGGGCACCCACGCCAAGCACGGCACAGAGCAGACCACGGTATGGAGGGAAGCGGAAGACATCTGTATGGATAATTTTCCAGCCGTTGTCACCCTGGTCAAAATCATCACCAGAACTTCCAGAAGTGGTCTCCTCGTCCAAGTTATAGCGAGCCAGGTCATTCCGAAGCACACGCATTAGAATGACAGCCACAAAACCCACCAGTGAAAACACAAGCACTATGGAGTTGATGATAGACAACCAATGGATTTCCAGTGTTCGGGGAAAGAAACCACCATCATCACCACGGCGCCTGTCACTCCGACGTGCCACTGAAGTCTCAGACCAGCGCACACTGTAAGTGTGAGTAAGGCGTAGGAACTCATCGGGTTGTAACCCATCCAAGTTGTGGGGCTTGACATCCCGCACCGAAACATTGGCAAATATAATTCGATCTCCATGGAATTCTAGGTGGAAGTCCAAATGGGTCCATAGTCCTATCTTGTAGCTGTGTGGCAGGAAGCCACTCTCCTCCGTGTAGCCAACAAAGCCACGGATTGGCAAGTCATCTACCACAAATTCAAAGTAGTATAGTTCCTCAATGGCCTGGCGCAGCTGCTGCACCTGTGCAGAACTGAGCTGCATGTGGCTCAGAATTCTCTTCTCCACGTTCTCCCGAAAGCGGATCTCATACAAAGACTCAGCCATTCGGTCCCCATCCGGCACTTTACCCAGGCTAAGGCTTTTGTGACATGTCTTCTCATGGCAGCAGACTGGAAGCTGACAGTAGTGGTAAGTTTCCTGATGGTTATGGTAGGGTCCCACTTTGCTGACATATAGAATGACAGGGTCACCGGCCTTGTAGTGTGTCACGCCTTCCACCCCTGGCTCATGGCCTGTGCCCAGCAGCAGTATCAGGACTGGCAACCACTGGCAGCTCCAACTTTGAGGGTGCCCTAGGATTGTCATCCTTAAGGCAATGGAACCTCGGGTCCCTTCCCGCCACAGCCCCGCGGTCCTCACCTCGCGGGAAGGGCTGGCCGAGGCAGCGCCAGCGGCCTGTGCAGCCCGGTAGCTGCCCTCGGGCTCCTGCCGGGGTCTCCCCCTGAGCGGCGCGGTAGCTGCGGGTTGGAGAGCGACTGTGAACTTCTTGAAGAACAGACTCTGCTTTATTTCAGTATCCTCAATGCCAAGCACAGGGCCTGGTATACAGTAGGTGTTTGCCAGCTGAACTTCCTATTGTCTTCTAGTCTATTTTCTTAATATATTTTTCTGATCATAAAAGCAATTCATGCAATCCATTGTGGGATATTTAAAAAAAAATACGTTTAAAGAAGAAATATCCATAATCCTAGAGGGATCATGAGAATTATTAACATTCACCATTAACATACTTATGGCATTAACATAAGAATTACTTGGGTGAGCTTGTTAAAAATAGAGATGCTCAAACTGCTGCTAGGCCACCCAGCTCCTGCCCCAGTGTATCCGTGTGTGTGCAACAAGTGTTTAATGGACTTTCATTTGATTCTAAAACTCGTCCCTCATTAAAGGTCACTATTTAGGTAATTTCCAATATTTTTGTACTATTGACCAGGTTGTGATAAACATCTTTGTACATAAATCTTTATCTCTGGGTCTATTTATTGCATAGATTCCTAGAAGTGGAATTACTGAGCCAAAGGGCAGGAAGGTTTTTAAGGCTCTCCAGACGGATCATCAGTTACTCCTCCGAAAGACTGTGCTACCTCCCTCTCCCACCAGCAGCTTCTGAGAGTGCTTGTTCATCAGACCCCTACAATTACGGCCACTTTGGACGAGAAAGAGTACAAGAATAGTTGCTATTAAATGTGAAAGAAAAATTGCCTAGCTGGGTGGTTTTTAAAGAGGGGCATTTAGCAAGCTTTTGAAGCCTAATTACTGTTTAATCAAGCCTAGGAACACACAGGCTCATTATTTTCTTTTTGCAGAGGCTGAGAATTGCAACGCGTGGTTGATAATTTTGCCAGCGCTGGGAGCACCCGTCACTTAGTCTGTTTTCCTAGAAAAGCTTTGCTTTCTCTCTCTGTGAAGGATGAAGCCCATGCATTTCCTCCTCCCCAGACGCTCAGCTAATAGGCAGGTCCCCTCAGCGGACAGCAGCACACCCACAGCGTGGGCAGAGGACTGGCTGCCCACCACCCAGAAGGTTGCCCAAGCTCAAGGTTCTTAGCTGTCATATTTCGTATTTCCACCTCTCCTCCTCCATCCAACTCTGGCAAGCGAGGGCACCCCTGGCAGAGTGTCTCCAAGTTTGCTTGGGCAGCTCATTCTTGCCTTACAATGGAAAAGGCCACAACTCCCTCCCTTAGGCTCCAGGAGCAGAGAGTTACCAGGAGCTACAGTGTAGCTGGGAAAGAGAAGTTTCTGGAAAGGAACAACCTGCAGTTACCATTTTAGATATTTATCCCAGGGAATACTCACACATGTGCATAATGCTATTTGCAAGGGCTTTCCCCTCATTTGCAATTTAAAAAATCCTATTAATGGGCAACTGTAAAAATAAATGAGGGTCCCTCCATATTATGGGATACCAGGCAGTTCCACCAGGCAGTTAAAAATAATGAGGCAAAACATAAAAACAAACAAACAAATAAGGCAGACCTGTCTAGATGATGGGCAAACAACAGCTGTTATTAAATAAATGAAAACAGCAGGCAGAAGAAAAATATGTACCATGATCCCATTTATGTAAAAGGAAAGAACTTATTCAACAAACACTTAATGAGCACCTACTACATGCCAGGAACCACAGATAAAAAGGCAAACCACACCAAGCCCCTGCCCTCAAGGAACATGCAAAGCCAGGTATATAAATAGACGGGAAAAAGACTGGAAGAATCTGTTAACACATGTTCTTGCTAAGTAGGGTCTCGGGGACAGGGAAATGGTTGTAAATGAGTATTTATGCTTCTTTATTGTTTGATTTTTCCCCGCAATAAACTTGCATCATATTTGTAATTTAAAATCATGCAAAGTGAAGAAATGAAGTCAGCAGGAAACGCAGCAATGGAGTCCGTGATACAGCCAGGGCCTGGGAGAAACAGGCCTGAGCTTAAGAAGCCAAGTACTACAGGGATTGTACAAAAACAAGGACTGCTTTTTCAGATTGTCAACCCCCACCTCCTCCCCCACCCACACATCTGTCCCACATGGCCTGCATTTTCCAGGCATGGCGCCATCTAAAATATGGTGGTAGCGGTAAGATTCCAACACATGATGCAGCCAGATTTTTCCACATATCTAGGCAGCCCATGGACTGCCATCTCCTGGTGGGGCCGGATGGACATTAAATAATCAGCAGGCAGCACAAGTCAGCACCACTGGTGTGCATTTTGCCCTTGTTGGAGACCAGTGTCTTTCTCTGCTACCAAGTCCCATTGGAGCAGACAGATGTGGGTCCTGCTCTCCTGGGATGGAGCTTCAGGTGACTCAGTTCCATGTCTGTCGCCTGAGGTTGCAGGTCAGGTTCAGGCTGATCTGTCATTTTCCAAGTATAGTATTTGAGAAACTGTGAGTCCAGGCAACCTGGACCTGCACGCTCAAGTCACAATGCTCTGGGCTGCAGTAATGGGACCCTTGGTGGCCAAATGGAGACATTGTCAGATTCTAGTTGGGATTGGCTGTCTCTTCTCAGAATGGAAGCAGGAAACCTACAGCATTGGTCTTCAACTCTGAATCATAGTTGAATCACCTGGGGAGATTTTGAAATATTGATGCCCAAGGCTCAGCCATTATAGTTTGTTTGAAATGGGGCCTGTGCATCAGCATTTTTAAGTTTCCCAGGTGACAATGGTGGTCTGGGTGGAGAACCATCAGCCTAGGGCAACAGTGCTCCCTGTACCTGAGCACTGAGGGACCTCCCATCACCTGGAGCTGGGAACAGGGTCACATCTGGGGTGACTAACTCACCCAGCTTGTCTGGGTCTTTCCAGTTTTTAGCACTGAAAGTCCTGCACCCTGGGGACCTCTCATCTCCAACAAACTGCCATGGTTGGTCATCTCCAGCATATCCTCGGTTATGGAAACCTCTTAAATGAGGTCAAGGGACATGTGTAAGGCCATCCTGGGCTTCCAGAAGGCAAAAGGCTAACTTAGGGATTGTGTGCATGTGTGTGTCTGCAGTGAGCACTTGAGCAGGACTTCTGGGCCACATGAGCCAGTGGATGCAGGGTAGACCTGAGTACGCACCTCCCACCACTGCACCCCCTGGGAGCAGCCAGAACCCCACTGCATGAGATCTTCAAAACAAGCAACAAACAGTCTCCAGGCTGTCCCCACTTTCCGGCAGTGTAGGACAGGGGCTCCCCAGCTCTCTCAGGCCCCTACCCCTCAGGGTCTGCAAAGACAGTGAGAGGGTCTGCAAAGACTCCGAAGTATTTTTTAAGCATAAGAAAACCAATCGATTGGCTTTTCCGCACTTCAGTTGCACATTCAGTTTAATGGACTTTGATGAATTAAACTCGCTAACCTCATTCTCATCCTAAATATCACTTCTCTGGGCAGTCTTGTCTGCTTGACTCTTGTCCCACTCCTTGTGCACCCTTGTTGCTCTGCAGGCCTGGGCTCCACTGTGATTAGCTGTGTACCAATGGCCCATTTCGTGCCTGTCTCCCCAGGGCACAGTTCTAAGGGCTGGAACCTTTCTGTCTTGCCTCTTTGCCTAGCCCCATAGGACTTGGCTTGTGCCTGGCACGCAGTAGGGCTCAGGAAACAAAGGGTCTTTCAAAGCTATGGGTGTGGGGATGAAATTATAAGAGGCTTTGGGGTTCTTTTGCCTGCCCTTGCAAAGAGCACCCCTTGGGCTCTTTGTGAGATGAGGTCAACTCCCACAATGCGTAGCAGCCAGCGTTCAGAGTGGTCAAGCCCTCCGTCCGACTCGCTCCTCCCCCAGCGAGCAACCCCTGGCTCTTCCATCGCAGAGTTTCCCTTCCGTCCACCTGCTTGTCTTCCTTCCGCCGTGTGCTCAGTAAGCAGGTGGAGTGACTGAGACCGTCCGACTTGCTGTGAGCTCTGTTCACTTACCAGGTAGTGACTTTGATGGTGAAGTTATATGTCTTTTGTAAAAACAGCGAACCAATGTCACACCCTCCAACTCCTTCCACACGCCCAGAGAAGGTAGGGATAGCCATGCTGCCATTTCAGTTTTCCATTTGCTCATAGGTTTAATTAACCCGGTCCAGAGAAAAGAAGTCCAGAGAAACAGAGTAACTTACTATTAGGGACGGAATCAAGATTAGCACAGCTGTAACTGCCTGACCACAGGGTCCCAGTTCCCGCTGATTAAGTTGTTCCTTGCGGCCGTGCGCTGTGAGTCACACCTGTAATCCTAGCACTCCTGAGGCCGAAGGCGGTCGAATTGCTCAAGTTAGGAGTTCGAAACCAGCCTCGAGCAAGAGCAAACCCCGTCTCTACTATAGAATATAGAAAGAAATTAATTGGCCAACTAACATATATAGAAAAAATCAGCTGGCATGGTGTGCATGCCTGTAGTCCAGCTACTCGGGAGGCTGAGGCAGGAGGATCGGTTGAGCCCAGGAGTTTGGAGTTGCTGTAGCTAGCTGATGCCATGGCACTTACTCTACCTGGGCAACAAGTGATGACTCTGTCTCAAAAAGAAAATAAAAGTATTTCCTGCAACTTAAAGAGTATCCAAAGATAAGATGTGTTCCTTTTTTTGTTTGAAAAGTTAAGCTTTCCGAAAAGTTGCAAGAAATAGTACAATGAAAAAGAAAAGAATACTACAATGAACATTGTAATACTCCTTTACCTAGATCACTAGTCTTTTGTTGTTGTTTGTTTCTGATATATATATATATATGTATATATAGATAGATAGATAGATATATGATTTTTTAATTATTTTATATTTTGCTGAATTTTGAAGATAGGTTGGCAGAAATCATGTTTTTTATTTCTAATTACTACTTCACATGTATCCCTAAGAATGAGGACATCTGCATAACCGAATCATTACCATATTAACGCTTGAGAAATTTAATTCTATATTATTATCTAATATACATTCCATATTCTACTTTCCCAATTGGCTCAATAATGTCCTTTAATAGCTTTTTTTCTCTTTTTTTTAAAGGTCTGGGAGCCAATCCAGTATCACATGCTGCATTTAGTTGGTCAGCCTCTTTGGTCTCTTTGAATCTAGAGCAGTTTCTCAGTTCATTTTGGTCTTTTTGACATGGACATTTTTCTAAGGCTCAAGCCAATTGTGTTAAAAACTATTACTTCTCCACATTGACCTCGATCTAACAAAAAAAAAAAGAAAAAGAAATACTAAAATTACTTTAAATAATGATATAGACTTCTATGTGTATCTTGGTCCTAGAAATGTAAAATGTATCTATGCTGCCACCAAGTCCTTGGTAGCCCGTGGTTCGCAAAAGGCTCGTGAAAGGCCATTAAGGCAAACAAACCTGTTTTGTTTTAATCAGCTAAGGCTCTTATTTGGTAGCATATATAAAGTGCCCATTCAGTGTAGAAGTATGAAAAAAAAAAATTAAGTGCCCATGTATTTATAAAGGTATATGGTGCCTTTTTGAGCACCTGGGATTCTTGTTAATCAGGATTCTGCTTTGTTGTACCTGGGGTGGGTCCCCCAAATTCTGCATCTCTAACAACTGCTGTGTGATTGCCATGAAGAACATATCTGCAACCACACTTGAGCAGCAGGGGTTTAGACAAGCCCATGAAGAAACATATCTGTTTACAATTAGATGACTTCTATTCTTGTATCTTTTTTTTTTTGAGACAGGATCTCACTCTATCCCCTGGGCTAGTGTGCAATGGCATCATCATAGTCCACAGCAACCTCAAACTCCTGGGCTCAAGTGATCTTCCTGCCTCAAGCCTCCTGAATAGCTGGGACTAGCGGTGCATGCCACCATGGCCAGCTGAAATTTTTGTAGAGACGAGGTCTCCCTCTTCCTCAGGCTGTTCTCAAACTCCTGGCCTCAAGCCAGTGGTCCCCAACACTTTTGGCACCAGGAACCAGTTTCGTGGAAGACAATTTTTCCACGGACCGGGGGAAAGGCAGGGATGGTTTCAGGATGATTCAAGCACATTACATTTATTGTGCAGTCAAACCTCTCTGCTAATGATAATCTGCTTTCCTTTTTTCTTTTTTTTTTTTTTTTTTGAGACAGAGTCTCACTTTGTTGCCCAGGCTAGAGTGAGTGTTGTGGCATCAGCCTAGCTCACAGCAACCTCAATCTCCTGGGCTCAGCCTCCCAAGTAGCTGGGACTACAGGCATGCGCCACCATGCCTGGCTAATTTTTTCTATATATATTAGTTGGCCAATTAATTCTTTCTGTTTATAGTAGAGACGGGGTCTCGCTCTTGCTCAGGCTGGTTTCGAACTCCTGACCTTAAGCGATCCATTGGCCTCAGCCTCCAGAGTACTAGGATTACAGGCATGAGCCACCACGCCCGGCCTGCTAATGATAATCTGTATTTGCAGCTGCTCCCCAGCGCTAGCATCACCGCCTCAGCTCCACCTCAGATCATCAGTCATCAGATTCTCATAAGGAGTGCGCAACCTAGACCCCTCCCGTGCACAGTTTATGATAGGGTTTGCTCTCCTATGAGAACGCATTCCTGTGGTTGATCTGACAGGAGGCGGAG